TCTGCTTCCAAAATTACCATGTGGGAAATTCCCTTGCTTGGGAGCACGGGGGTTTTTTTGCATTTCGGAGGCCTTCAGCCTTTATTTGTGAATCACACACAGGAATGCAATCACCATCACTAGACATCTTCGTGCCTCCCAAACATAAGACTGATTCCTCGTGGCTCTTCTGAAGAGTCCTGTATGTTTCAGAAACTACACGTGATCGGTTACCTAGGGCATGGGTTTGGGACACATATGTGATTTGTCTTTTAAGCCCATGCCATTTCAGCAAAAGCAACCAACTGATGGATGCGGCACTTTTCCAGAATAAAACCCGGCTTTGGCTCAGGTCTTAATCCCTAAGAGCACAGAGCTCTAACTCCTGGCTTCCATGGAGAGCCTGGCGATTCCGCGTGGCCGGAGCTGCAGATGCTCTGTGACACTTCCTCCCTGGGTTTCCAGGGCTTGTTTTGTACCTGCTCCTGTCCAACCTGACGCCTTCATTAAGGAACATTCACATCTGTAAACCTACTGGCTTTGTGAAGAAGATGTGAAGTTTCAGCCTTACGTGCTGCTGGCTGAACTACACAGAGGAGATAACCTATTTACATACTAAAAAGGTCAGTGTCGGACAATCCGCATTTAGAGATGAATTTGCTGCTGCCTGCAACTGGAGCAGAAGAATTTGGGAGAAGGCCGCAATTTTTCCGTCTGTTTATCTGTGTGGACCGCACACGTGGGTAAAGATGCAGGATGTCTGTGCTCAACAGTCGGGCAGAGATGGACAGGCTCCCTTGTACTTTAGAACCTCTCTGGTCACTAACCAGTAGGCGATTACGTGAATGTGCAAAGTGCAGGACAACCTCACCTACTAACAACTGTTAGTTAATTTGAGATGGAAATACTTGCATAATAGCTCTTCAGACATGGTCAGTAAAACACAAGCCTTCATAATAGACTTTAAATTATATAGCTACTGCTTATACCCTGCCATTTGCGTTAGGAAAGGTAGACTTTTAGAGGGCGTAGAACATTTCCTTTTGTGTTCTTTCCTTTCAGAGTCTTAAAATATCAACAGCTTTATTCGGCTAATGTGTGTTGAAAGTGTCTTAAAAGATGTCGTTATAAAGGCATGAATTTTCTCTAGAATCTCGGTAGTGGTTTTGTCCTTAAACATTTGTACATTCAGAGCAGAATAATGAGGGAATTGAGATCCGTGGCTCCATCTAAATGTCAGGATATAACAGAAGATTAAAGTCCCCCGTGAAGGTGGAAAACTAGTTCAGAAAGGCTGGGGAGGAGTGTGGGCGGAAGTGGAGTCTGACTCCTTGGAGACACCGGCCAATGCCCTTGGAGCCTTAGGACCCTGGCCACTCAGAGCTTTGCTCCCGAGGGAGGGCCCAGTTAGGAGGGCTCAGCTGCAGCCTCTTCCCCAAGCCCGGCAAGGCCAGCGTGCCCTGCAAAGACCAACAGCAGCAGCTGCCACCTAGGTTCTCCTGGGATCCTGAGCTGCATTCCACATACGGGGTCCCCCAGGGGACCCTTGAAGCCAGATGTGGACCTGGGCCCATTGTGACGCAGGCAGCGGCTTCCAGAAGGGAACCGGGCTTCGTGGGCGGGCCTATCCCTGGTGGCCGGTGTGCCCGTCCACTTAGAGCCCCACCCAGCGGGGCTCTGGGCCTGCTCTGACCCTGGACTCAGGGAGAGAGAGGCCGGTGCAGTGACAGGCCGGCTCCTCTCTGGCATCAGTGGGTCACAGAGATGATTCAATCCTGCTTAGCAAACGGCCACATTCTCGGGCCTTCATAACTCCTGTTTCTCCTGACTGTGGTTTTGAAATAGAGCAGCGGTGTCGCTGTGCTGGGGAGGGCCTCCTGGGCAGTGATGCCATTGGTCCAAGGTTCGTCCAGGGTTCCAGGGGGTCTGACTCGTGCCCTCGGCGGGGAGGGGCCACCACGATGCTGCCCCACTCACCCACCTGCCTGTCTTGCAGAGCACTTGGCCGCGCGGACGCAGCAGGCCCTGCACCAGTCGGTCTTCATGTCGTCCTCGTCCGCCCAGCCTTTCCGGGACCTTCCCCTGGGCCGCAGACAGCACCTCAAGCTGCTCCCCGGCGTGGCCGACGTGCAGGCTGGCAAGGTGGCCCGGTGGACGGTGGATGAGGTGAGCGGCTGCCCGGGGCCGGGGTTTCTCTTAGGTGCTGAGTCCACGTGTGCCAAATTCCAGATCCGCGCTTAAGGGAGAAGCAGGCTGACGCTCAGGACGTTCGGGAAGCCCCTTAGTGGGGCCCTGCCCTCCCCAGCCTTCTCCCAGCGCCGTCTCCACTGCCTGCCCCCCGGGGTGGGGTGCTGATTTAGGCCTCCAGCGCCGCATCACAGGTTTGCTCTGAGGAAACACGAACGTGTGGGCCTCCATGCCTGTGTCCTGGCAGCCCCGGGCGATGCCCCCCGCCCCGCATGCTCTGTGCCCAAGGGGCTCCCTCTGCCTGGTGCCCCCGAGGCCCCGGGATCCCATATTCTCACGCCCAGGCAGCACCGCGCTACGGGGGATCAGGTCAACCTCAGGTTTATGAATAAATTGGGTCACAGTGTTGAATAAGATGCCGAACAGAGGGGAAAGTGGATTTGATTGTAATGTAAACACACCTTACAACGTTGGTTTTACGTAAGAATCAGGGAAGTGCCGTTGCTTCCTGTGACGCTGTGGAAACGCTTCGTACTTAGAGCAACACACTCTGATATTCCTTTTGATGAAGGTATTGTTCTCACTCATCAGGCCTTAAGTTTTTTGTGGTTTTTTTTTTTAATGAAAGAAAAGCCTGGGTCACTCTTTTGACAAGACAGAGTAGAGCTGCAGTTAAACTAGTCACGGATACTCACTGAGCATGTCCAGCAGTCGAGTCACCTGGACTCCATCTCGCTCAGGGGCTTCCTTTCCAGCCCCAGAAAAGGAGCAGCGACTAAGGCCCTGCGGAGGTCAGAGGTCCGGGGGGGCCTCCGCCCCTCCTCCCAGGCAGCGCACAGAGTGTGCCTGGGGGGTTCCCCCCACCTGGCACCCTCGGCGTGGACGGGGCCCAGCACACCCTGCCTGCCTGCCTGGTCCCTCTCCTTCCAAGGCCCTGTGGGTCCCGCAGGACAGAGAGGTGACTGGACATGCCAGGTGCTGCGGGGTTGTTTGGGGGGGTGGTGACTAAATGTGACCGTGCTCCCTAAAGAGTATTCATGGTCTGCGCCTGCCCATCTGTGAACTTTTACCAGTTTACAAAGCCGACTGAATTAAAACCTGTTGTGGCTGTTGTAAGGAATGGCACCAAAGACGGAGGAGAGCTTAAACAAGCTTTATTTGGGAACGCTCCCGGGCGAGGTTCACTGGTCCGAGAGAAAGGGGCCAGAGAAGTCGCGCCCAGGTGTGGGCGCGAACAGAATTTATAGGGGTGCACGCAGGGGAGGTGCTTGCTGTGTGAAGCAGCCCTTTTTTTGGTAATCTCTCGGGTGTTGTGGCAATGTCAGGTGTCGGTTGCATCAGCCTCAGAGCCGTCGGTTCCGCCCCTCGGGGAGCGGGAAGACCAGGGCTGAGTGGTGTGGCAATGTTAGGTGTCGGTTGCATCAGCCACTTTGGCGGGGCTTCCGTCTGGCTCCCTGGGCCCTTCCCCGGACCTGCTGGCCTTACACCTGTAATCAAAGCACTGCTGGTTTTGCCCTTGAAATAACAACCCAGCGTTCAAGGGCAGTCTCTCTCTCTTTTGACCTTCAAGCTGTTCATCTGAGGTTCTGCACCGTTTAAGTTAGATGACAGTGTCCCCTCTCCCCTCTTCTTCCTGTGCTCCTGGCCCCTGGTGTGTCACTGTCCTGCTCAGACGTCCAGCCCAGCCCCACATGTGCAGAGCGACTGCATCCCGACGGAGAGGGAGTGGGCACAGCAGGGCGAGCGCTGCACTGCATCCTGGTCCCCAGACGAGCCCACAGGACCTGCCTGGCTGTCCGCCCGCCCCTGACCTTGGGCCCCACGTCCTGCGCCTCCCTAGTCCCCGGGTACTGTTGTCACATGTGCACGGTCACTGCCCAGCCCCTGCCCAGCGCAGGCTCTCCTCCTGCAGGAGCCCTCAGGCTGCTCCCACGTCCCTCAGGGCCCCCGTTTCCTCTGAGAGTCTCTGAGGCTGCACCTCGGATGCTCACTCTGCTGACCCTGAACCCCAAGCACATGAGCGGAGACCTTACTCACTTGGCCTGTGTCCTGAGAGCTTCTCGCTGCGCCTGGCACTGAGTAGATCACCCAGTAAGTGTTTGTTGAGTGAATGGCAAGGGCATCTGAGCTGGATTTTGAAACAAAAGTGCAGTCAGTCCAAGCAGAGAAAAGACGGGACGCCATGCGGGGGAGGAAAACTATAGGAGTGGGGGTGAGTGTGACACGTGCAAGGATGACAGACACACACGTGCCCCTTACTGACATTATGATGGTAGTGAGCAGTGTTGATGTAATGATGGTGAGGCACGCACGCTTATTTTGCCCATTTTACAGACAGGGAAGTGGAGGCACCGGAGACTAAGAAAACTCTTAAGGCCACACGGTCAGAGCCAGGTCCTGAGCCGACGTCTCACCGCACCCCAAGCACACTGCCCACTGGGGCTTGGGGAAGGCGGCCTGCAGCAGGCGGGAGATGGGCCAGGTGCACCAGTCAGGCAATACCAGGTTCTTAGGTGCTAAGGCAGAAAGTCATGTTGTGAAGCTGGTGCTTCAGGGAGATGAAAACAGCACAGGCCAGCAAGGAGGGTGAGAGTAAGAAGGGGCCGGGCTGGGCGCCACTGTCCAGAGCCACCCGGGCTCAGCAGACGAAGCCACAGCACAGGAAATAGATGAGGCACAAGACGAGGAGGTGAAATGAGCCAGCGTGGTTCCATTTATACTCTCAGCGCTACGCAGTTTGGTACTTAATTAGGATAATGATGTGTGAGAACTACAAGGCCCACACACTTCATCGGAAAGAATGGAAAAGGAGTGGTGCTGTCAAAAAATGGAACTCCGGGGACAGGATCCAGTTTGGGGGCCAAGGGATAAGATGAACTTATTCTGGGACCTTCTGAGTTAGGGTCCCCTCAGGGTACACGAGACATGGCTTCACCAGGCACGATCCCCAGAGAACACGGCCAGGGATGGAGGCCGGTGTGTCCACGGAGGAAGTGCAGGAGGAAGGGCGAGCAGTTGGGGGGAGCCTGGAAGTGAGCGTCCCAGGTCAAAGGGTTCCCGGCTAGGGCTGTGGGGTTGGGCTTCAGGGGATTGGGGAAAATTGTGTACAAAATGTGTGTTTTTCCCCATAAGAAGAGGGCCACAGCTTTTATTAACTTCTTGGGGGGTGGGGTGGGGCATCACCCCAAAGGAGCAGGGATCGCTATTTAGGAACATTAGGGAATAAATAGGAAATTCGGGGGTGGGGCCTCTGATCTGACCAGTTTCAAGTCTGACACTGAACAAAATGAAGTTTGGAGGGTGATTAAAGGGAAGTAGCTGGTCCATCGTTAGGATGGGGCGGGCCTCAGAAGGAAGAGACTCACTAGGGGGCGGGGAGGACCGAAGAGGCCACGGAGGATGATCAGGAAGCTGTGATCACAGTTCTGAGTTCTCTGTGATGGGTACACACGGGATCCCAGCCTTTTACTGCCGAAGGTGACCTTAGACATTTTCTAGATTAAAACTGAAGCAGCCATCGGAGAGGCTGGCTTCCTGGAGCACTTCGTTGACCGTGGCTGCCCACGGGATGCATCCCAGAGAAAACAGTCGGGGTTGCTCCCTAACGTTGATGTACCTTTGTCTTGATAGCTCCCTAATTAGATGCCCTTGAGGACGAGGACCACATCCTAAATTTCTCTCTGTATTCTCACATTCTGTAGCACATTTCCTGGCACAAAAACTAGTCCTCGAGAAGAAACTTTGAGTGGTCAAAGTGTGGGCGTTGTGATGCGTTTGTATCGTTGAAAATAAGGGGGCTCCCTAGGGGGGATCCCAGCGAGTACCAACCACAGGGGCCACTGTGTCTGCTCCAGATGCTGCATTAAGAGTGGCGAGTCGGGTCGTGAGGACGTGAGAACGCAGTTCAGGGTGAGCAGGGCAGGGCTGTGCCTTTGTGCTTTGTTCCCACGGGGCAGGAACGGGAGCTCAGGGGCCAGGGACAGGGCGTGTGGAAAATGACTTGTGGGTCCTTGTGCTAAGTGCCATCCAGGGACACTTAAGGCGGGTGAGTGTCTCTGGCAGGAGATGCAGCACAAGGACAGTCCCTCTTGTCAGCCGTCCTGGCTGGGAGGAGACCTCCGCTCTGAGTTGTGTTACCTGACGGACCTCTGTCATGTTGCCCGGAGGTGGGGACTGGCTTTTAACTCCTTTGCCGTTTCTGTGGTGTTTCTGCCAGAGCAATTTCTTTCAGAGCACCGGCAGGCTGTGAAGTTAGTTTAGTGGTTCCAAAAGGAGAGACAAGACCAGATGCAAGTACATCATTGTAGTAGAGGTTACTGTTTTGTGAAACCTTCGTTAGGAATGCGTGAGTGTGCACACACTCAAGCTGTGGTCCCTGGGGAGCGTATTTCTTACTCTGGTCATGGAAATGTTCTATAGAAGGGTACAAGCACCTAAGAGTAGGGACTAAATTATTTTTATATCTTTTTACATCTTTATAGCAAGTACACCAGAGCAGGTGTGTGACAAATGTGCGAGTGAGTGAATGAATTGGGAGACGAATTTTCTGCAGCCCCTCCTGCCAGGCGTCCATGGGCACACGCAGGCCAGATGCAACACGTACGCACATTACAGCCGCGGGTGCAACTCGGGGATGCTTGGTGCCCATGTGGATACTTCTATTTCTTACATTCAAAAATGCCTTTTAAAGCAGCACATATAGATCGCCCTGGCCTTATCCAAGGGCTCCCTAAATGTCCATTAGATCTAAAAGATGGTGGTCGCTTTCCAAGCAATCTTTGCCCAGAAGGGAGTGTTTTGAAAAATTCAGGATACTGTTACCTAAGCATAGCAGCCTTATACAATCGGGCCCTGAAAAACGGCAACTAACAAATTCCACTGATAAGAAATGAGACCCGGGCTGGAAACATGGTCCCCAGTGGACCCGAAGCCAGGACAGTCAGGCACCCGGCGCTGGCTCAGCAAGATGGGAACGTCGGCATCGGGAGAGATTTAAGGAAGCAGCAGCTGCACTGAAGGAAGCAGGCCTGCTGGGCTGCACGAGGATGCCAGGAAAAGGAGGTTGCCCGGGAAGGAAGTTGGGTGGAGTAAAGGGCTCAGCTCAGAGCCTGCACAGTTTCATTTCTTAGTCTTTCCAAACTGCTGTGTCATCCCTGGAACTAACTTACTCCGTGTCCTTCCAAAACAAAACTGGGGTGTCTTCTGTGGACACTGCACTCCCAAGAGCTTGGGGAACCAGGTATGCTGCCCCCGCCAAGGCCAAGGCCAAGGCCAAGGCCGGCCACCCTGGGCTCCAGCAGGGCCGCCATCACCTGAGGAAAGCAGCCGAGTCCACACAGCTGTCCTGGGTGGAGGCAAAGGACGGGGCGGCAGCTTCCTCCTCTGTGGACTCATGGAACCGTGTGAACGCTTCTCCACATTGACCACGACGTGAAGAAGGAAGCACGTGCTGAAGGGGAACATGAGAGGGAACCCTTCCGTTACTGCTCTGCGGTCTGGTGAAGTTCACCACTTTACAGCGAGGAAATGGGCTTTCTACTGAAGCTCAAATAGAATTTATTCTCGGGACTGGCAGTACTGAATGATGATACCAAATCACGATCCGGGCCAGAAGAGTCTGCCTCAGTAGATTGCATGGAACTTGTTCTTTACTTTGGAAAAAGGCAGGTCGAATAGAATCAGAATCTCTTTCCAAAAAGACAGAGAATTTCAGACACGTGGTAACGAAACTGTCCGAGGAAGACAGCGAGGACCTGCCCCGCAGCACAGCCCTGTGTACTCTTTGGTTTAGCACGTTATTTATCCCCACTTAAAATCCAATCTACCTCTGACACGGACAGTGCTTTCTTGGCTCACAATACTAAGAAGAGGGAACGTGATCCTTTGTTTTAAATTTGTATTTGCTTGCCCAGAAAAGGACATTTTAACCTCTGAAAACCATCAGAGCAACACTCAGCCCTGTTTTGAGAACAGAAGTTCCTGGAGCGTGTATTTACGAGAGACTGTCTGTGGGGCGTGTCCCTGTCCCCGGGGGCCGGGCATCCGGGGGCCCTGGTGCTGGCATGGCTTCCCCAGGGGAGCCAGTGATTGAGAGGCACCAGCGTGTGTCTTTAGCTAATTCCTAGAGCCACTTTTCTATGTTCACTTCCCCTCCTGTGACCCGCGGCCCCCTCCTGTGACAGAGCCATCCCAGAAGAGCCCTCCTTCAGCGCGGTGGCTCCTACCAGGTGGTGTCGCCAGCACCGTGACTCGTTTTTCGTTGTCACAATCGTGCGCGCTGGGGTTGCTCCTGGCACTTAGCGGGGATGTCGCCAAACACCCTGCGGTTCGCAGGGCAGCCCCACAGCTGAGAAGGATCAGGCCCAGCGTTGGAGTTGCGCTGGGCAGGAAACCTGCCCTTGAGCGTGTTGTCTCCGCCCCCAGCTGTCCCCTGTGACCCCACGTCAGGGTTTCACCTTCAGCACCTCCCGCCCCCAGCTCGGGGCTCTGCCCCTGCGGAGCATTCAGCCCTCAGAGCGCCCGGCGGAGGGGCAGCTGCAGCGTGCCCCCCAGCGGTGCCCGGATGGCCTCCCAGGCCTCCCCTGCCTTGTGTGTGTGTGTGTGTGCGCGCGCACACGCGTGCACGCTGGGGCGGTCGGGGGGAGGGCCTTGGCCCTGAGTGCGCATTAGAACCAACCCGGGAATCGAATCCGTGCCCAGCCCTCCACCGGATCCAGCTTGACTCATTCGGAATCTCTGCAGCATGAGCTGGGCCTGAGATAGATCGTGTTTAAAGCTCTCCAGGTGGTCCCAGTGCATGTCCAGGGTGGAGAAGGGCTGCCCCGGGGCACTCACTGGCCACGTGTGGCCTTGAGGAAGTTATTAAACCTCTTTGGGCTTCAGCTTCCTCACCATTTTTGTGGGAATTCCCTGCGCAGGGAGGTCCGAGTACCCGTTGTTGGCCAGACGCTGGGGGAGGCCCTGGAGACTCGGGTACGGGAGACGGGACGGCCCAGGTCTGGAAAGGCAGACGGTGCCTGTCATCACTGCTGTGCACAGGCCACTGCTGCCTGCCCTCCCTGACCCCCAGGCTGGACAGGAGGGTCAGACGATGGAAGGTTCCAGGATGCCAGGGCTCCACACAGATGGAGGCTGTCATTGGCACCATGGTGACTGTAACCCTATGTAGGTCAGCCTGGAAATGAGGCCAGAAAAGATAGCAGGAGCTGGTCTCATTTCCGAGCTGGCGAATGCTACTGGGGCTTGATAGCTACTGTTTAAATCCCAAGCGTTTGAGGGATGCAAAGTGTATGTTACTCAAATGTTGAATGACTACAACCCAAGGTATTATTTCCGGTGCACGTTCTGAATCAGGCTTTTCATCTCGCACTGTAGGTGGCTGAGTTCGTACAGTCTCTGCTGGGCTGCGAAGAGCATGCCAAGTGCTTCAAGAAAGAGGTAGGAAACGGAAAAATTACATATGTTTCTCTACGACTAGGCCCGGAAGTGCTTTGTTTCCGTTTACTTAAGTGTAAATAAGGGCAGTTTGGGGGAGGCAAGACAAAGAGGTCCAGGCAGGAGGGGGCCCAGCGGGGCAGCCTCTGTCTGGGTCGCTGACGTGAGCTGTGCTTTGTCGCTGGAGCCTGCAGCCTCACCTCTGCAGCCGCTTGTGAAAGGGACTCTTGGGACACGTCACTCGGTTAATACCTGCATTGTGACTGCAGCCACGCTGGGGCAGTGGGGACCTGCCACGGGCCTGCACCCAGGAGAAGGGGGGCTTGTCTGCTCCAAAGTGGAATTAGGACCGTCCTACCTGTCCTTGCCCTGCCCCTACTTAGGGGGACACGGAGAAACCACACAATCCTTGAAACTGTTGGTTTCCTCATCTGCCTCCGGGGTTGCTGGTGGGATCAGCACAGAGAAGGGTTAGTAAAGCTCCATAAGGGCTTACTGTTCCCATGATCACCATCACTGCTTTACTCTTAGGACTACCGGCTGTAAGGTCGGATCTTAACAAACGGCACCGCGAAACAGAGGAAAGCTTCAAGTGAGCTGTATTAGGGAGCGCTCCCGGGCGAGGTTCACTGGTCCGAGAGAAAGGGCCAGAGAAGTCGCACCCGGGCGAGGGTTGGGCAAGATTTTATAGGGGAAGAAGGGAAAGGGGTGTGGTGAATCTAGGAGGGTGCAGGGTATTCCTTATTTGGTGGTCTTTCCGGGTATCCTGGGGGACCGTTAGTCCCGCCCCTCGAAAGGCGGGAAGGCTGGGCCGGGTTCAAAGTCCCCAGGTCAGTTCCTGGAACTGGGTGGTCCGGAAAGTCTCCAGGTCAGTTTCTGGAACTGGGTGGTCCGGAGAGTTTCGTTCTGATGCAACCTGTGAATCTGATTGTGTTCCCCTGCCTCGGGCCAGTTGGCCTTACACCGGCCACTTGGCCCGGGAGTCTTGCCTGAAGTTCTGAAGGTTGGGGTGTGGCCCGTAGGGCAGTGCTCTCCACCACTGTGGGAATGTGCTCGTTACCCCATGGGAAGGGTATTCCACTCTCTAGATGGACGATTCTTCATTAGACAATATATTAGACATGGAAGCTTTTAAAACTCTCAACACCCCACGTGGGGTCCCCAGGGATCCCTCCTTCCTCAGGGGGAGACTGACACCATGGTTTGTATTGTTAACTAAAAAGGGTTAGAACCACAGGGCTGGGTTCATGGAAGGGTGTCACCCTAGCAAACTTCATTCTGTCCTCTTTGTTCTGGAACCTGGACTCCTTCTGAGCCCATCTGTGAAAACAGGCAGCGTGACTGTGGGACAGGCCACAGTCGCCGGGACTCAAACTCTGAGACCACCCTGGGGTTTCTAGAAACCGGAAAAACGGCCTGCACGGTGGCACTGGCCATCACATGACCTCAGGAAAGCCATGACATTTCAGACCACAGTATGTTGCAAAAGTTAATAAATACAGCACTCATTTTGAATGTACTTCGGCTTATAATGGTGTTTGGCATAGGAGTCATTTTAAATACAGGAGGGTTAAAAGGAGAAAACAAAAACCAAACCAAGCCACTGGCCGAAACCCCTTCACATTTGGTATAAAGACTTCAAGTATTTTAACTCCGTGTATGTTTACAGTGGTCGTGCACATTTAAGTTTACAAATTAAAACAGATCTTTCTGTATCATCGATCATGTTTCGTTGCTTAACAATCCATGAAAAGTTTCCCAAATCATTAACTATTTCATTGTAACATGAATTTTGGTGACTGCCTGGTCCCTCATCCTAGGTAACACTGTAATTTATTTCCTTCTGCTGTTTCTGGAGTGCCCGGGTGTTTGCAGTGCTGCACTGTTATAAATAACACCATTGCCTGCTCCTTGTTGATTGTTCTCATGGGAAACATTCCTGGAGATTTCACTTGGTAGATGAAAGTGGGTTATTATTAAGGCCCTTTATACAAATTCAGTCCAAAATTTAAAAAATGTAACAATAGAAATTCAGCCTAGGGACAGTTCATGTACACTGAATTCATATTTAACAGAATGAACCCCTCTTTGATTTAACTTAGCTTCGGCATTCTGGGGAAAACAGAATTGACGGTGGTCGGACTAAGATGCCGTCGTGGTCTGTGGTCCCCAAGCTCTGGTAGGCCACCGCGTCCCCATCACACAGCTCAGCACCCAGGGGCCCCTGGAGGGCAACCAGACTTGAACAGCAGGATATGTTTATTTGTGCTGATTTATTGATCTACAGCAGATTGATGGCAAAGCCTTCCTGCTCCTGACACAGAAGGACATTGTCCAGGTGATGAAGATCAAACTGGGTCCAGCCCTGAAGATTTATAACTCCATCCTCATGTTCAGAAGCTCCCAGGACCTCGCCAGGGAAGGTGCTGTCTCGGGCCAGGAAGGCAGGGGGAAAGTCTGCACCTGATGGGCTGCGGCCACCACGCCTTGTTCTCTCAGCAGGAGCACCAGCCACATGAACTTGATTTCGGTGTGCCCGTGGTCACGTCCAGGTGTGACCTGGACCTTGTAAAGTGGCTGCGGTTTTTATGTTTGCAGGGTTTGCTGGCTGGTCCAGCACCAGTGACGCAGAGGCCCAGGCACATGCAGGCTTCTGACCGGCCTCATCTCGGCTCTGACGTGCTGCAGCGACCAGACCAGAGAAGCCCACACGCGCGCCTTTATCCTTCTCCCTCGCCCTGGAGGAGGCCACTTCCCATTTGCAAGGATGCAACTCTCCAGTGGTAGAGTATCAGGAAAACGGTTTTCACACACACATTGTTCTGTTTTCACCAGAACGGCTTCTGAGCTGGGCTGCAGTTTGCCCTCCGGGTGCAGTGAGTCTAAGAGATAGAGGCCTGGTGCTTTAAACAGACTTCTGTGAGATCTGTGTACTTTACTCAGGAAAGCATGGATCGTTAAAAAAATTAGTAATAAGCACATGTTTTCATGATCCATTAATTCTCCTTTGTGTTCCACAAACCGTTTCTCAGTTGTGCTGCCAGGGTCTCCCGAGTGTGCCCAGCCAGCCGGGCACCTGGCAGAAGCTGGCAGGCCTTTCCTGGGGACCCTCCACCTGCAGTGTCCCCGCAGGGACCCTCACACAGACACACCTCCCCCCCCCAACCCCCGATGTCTTCACAGCTTCTGCTCTAAGGGTTGCCTCAGGGGGGCTGACTTGTCCTGCAGGCTGTCTGCATGTGTGTGCCACGAGCCGTGTTACATGGGGGCCCTGGGTACATCTTTACAGAGACACTCCATTAAAGGGAAGATTTCTAAAGTGGGGAGCTGGGTGTCTATGATACGTTCAAACAATTCTTATTTGTTATCAGCCCTTATTTGTTTTGTGTAAGTGACTGCATTTGAGGCTGAAGTTACGTGGAGTCAGCCTCACGGTATGGGAGCTCCATCTTTTTGGTTGGTTTTTTTGGGTGGCAGGGGTTGTGTTTTTTTTTGCAGGTGGGAGAGAAAAGAAAAAAAATAGAGTCAGACCTACAGTACCTATTTGCTTCAGTTAAGAATCTTACGGTTTAAGAAAGTTGCTTGGAGAGTTTATCAAACTTCAAGTCACCGAAGGAAAAAAAATTCTTCTCTAAGAGGTATACTTATATTTCATTCTTTAGATCCTCACCTTAACTAAATGGAATTTTAATGTATTATTGGTTAATGTGCATTTTTCTTTCTGTGATGTTTTATTTGTTGTTTGGGTTTTGTTTTGTTTTTTTTTGACTGCCACGTACAATTAAAATTCCTGCTTCTATGTTAAAATCTTAATATATTTTAAATGATAATAAACAGATAAAATAAGACCTCCACCTCACTGCTTTTATGAATATGTTGTAATAGCCTGGAGGCTGTCTTTCCAGCTGGGAAGGAACAGAGGCAGTGGCCCTGCACCCGTCGGTCGGTAGAGAAATCGGCCGCTTCTGAACACTTTTGGAGTATGTTTTCTCAGGGAAGTAAATTTCGGTGTTAATGATTTGAGTGTTTTAAGTCTGAGGTTTTTTTTTAATTAAACAGAAGCTCAAAATTGCTCATTTATGTTGGCTCCATGGAAGACATGAGATTTGTGGTTTGTATATTTAATACATGTCATTTTAAGAGAAGGATCTAGAACAGGACGGATAATTCCAAGCCAGATTAGGGTTGAACTGTTGTGTCCCTAGAAGACGGTATGATCGGACAAAAAGAGTTTGATCCAGGAGTGTAGCCACCTGCTTTAGCACATCCCCACTTTGTCATCCAAGTGCCTCGACCTTGACATTCAAATGGCCCCACCAATGTGAACAGTACCCATCACCAGGGCAGCTGCCTGAGCCAGGAGACTAGAATCCCCTGACTCTTTGTCAGCTTCTGGGCTGTAATTCTTCTTCTACCAACACGGCATCACTGGACGTGGACATGGGCCGCGAGGTGTGCAGTCAGCAGCCAGCACTGGGGCTCTCACGCGCCCCCCTTCCCCTCAAGCACAGCTCTGTTCTCTCTCTCTCGTCTCACACACACATAGTCTGGGCTGGACCAAGACTGAACCCCCTCCTTGTCTCCACACTCACCCCTCTTTTGGGCCTCCCCTTTTGCATCTGCTGACCCCTCCGCTGAGGTGTCCCCTCCCCCGTCCTCCAGAGGTTTCCTTAACGGCTTAGCTCCTGGGTTCCCGCAGCAGCCATGCCTTCCATCCTATGCTCCTCAGTCTTTATTATTACTTGCTTGTCTCTCCCCACTAGTCTAGGGTCTGTGAGGACCAAGACCGTGGCCTCCTCCTCTTCACTTTTCCTGGCATCTGGCATAGTATTTGGCACGTAATGGGCACACAGCAAGTCATTTGTTGCATCAATGAACGAAGCAAACCAATCAAACTCAAATCTAGATTCCAGCTCTGTGACTTCCTAAATAGTTGTAACGTCTCCATAAAATGAGAAAATAATACCTACCCCCGAGGGGTTTTTTCATTTGATTTTGAGGATGTGTGCATGTGTGACTGCAGCTGACACAACACACAAATAAGGTGCCTGACACCTAACAGTAGCCACTAAATAGGGGTCAGGAAAGTAACAGCAACAGCGATCCATTTTTTTTAATAATCTTGTAGGAATCTCCCGCGTACATATTCAAATTTGCATCAAGCCTGACCCCAAGGGGCCCGCTCTTCTTAGTGTGGCTACGTGTTAGGGACCCAGGAGCACGTGGGGCGGGCCCTGGGATGCTCCTAAGGGCCCTTGATCGGCCTGGACTCCAGGCTACCACACCCAGAAGCGGCGCCAGCCAGCTCCCTCCCCGCGCCCCATGCTCTCCAGAAAGGCTTGGATCATTAGGAGTTGGTATCCTTTGCTCTGCCAGGAGGGCCCCCGCCACACTCAGCAGTCAGGAAGCATCCCGAAGTGCCCAGATGGTGTGAAGGCCTCCACTGCCCCTGGGTACCAGCCTCAGCCCTTACTCCCCGTTTCTTTTCCTGAGTCCCACCCGAAACATGAGTGAGTCAGGGACAAAGGGAAAAAAATGCCATCAGGGCATCAAGAAATACAACTTCTAGGATATTGGACAGAGTTCCCCAAAGGACCATTCATACAACATATCATGATGCTGGAAATGAGATCATTAGCAAGAATCCTAAGGGAGCTAGGACTTCTGCGACTATAGACTTTAAACGCCTGTAATTTCAGGTAATTTTTGCAAAACTAAATTTCTGTCACTTCTGACAACCTGCAGACATTCTACGAAAAATCTATCCTTAATCAGCTCTGAACCCCACTTTCCTCCCTCTGTAATTAGATGCTAACCTTGTATAAACCACATTCTAAACAGATCACAGGAGTGACAGTGCAGGAAATTGACTCCTTGTTAACACAGGGCTCTGGCCTGTGACATCTTCCCCTGGCTGACCGCTGACTCTCAGACATCCGTGGGATTTCTTGGTTGAGTCTCTTGTGTCTATGGAATCTCCATCTGCCGAGGGAGGGCTGGAGGCAGGGAACTAAAGGGGAAGGTACTAGGGCTTTGGAGTCAAGCCCAGGCTTGAATCCTGAGTCCTATGTCTAACCAGGTGCCTGATCTGGAAGCATTTCTTAACCACCCAACAAATGACCAACTTGCCACGTTCACTCCTTCCTTTTGAAATAATTTTGATTGCATTACATTTTGCTCCATCCTTTTGAAGAATATTCAGTTTGTCTTTCCAACTCCCAGGGCATAAAAATATATTCCTGAATATGAAGTGTTCCTGTGAATACATTCTTAATATTCAAGAATATATTTGTCATGAATATATTTTCTTATAAATAAATTCTTCTTAAAAACGTATTCTGCTTATAAATATATTCATGAAGAATCTATTTGTTAATAGATTTTTGAATATTCAGAATCTTTATAAATATATTCTTCCTATGAATAAATATATTAGTGAATAATATATTCACAAGAAGTCTTTCTTCAAAAATATATCCTTGTTATACTCTCTGTCTCCATCTCTCTCTGCCCTTCAGTTTCTAGCTGCGGCAGGGAGCTGGTACAGGCCAACTCCTTAAAATGCTGCCGAGGGCTTCCCTAGTGGCGCAGTGGTTAAGAATCCACCTGCCAGTGCAGGGGACACGGGTTCGAGCCCTGGTCTGGGAAGATCCCACATGCCGCGGAGGAACTAAGCCCATGAGCCACAACTACTGAGCCTGCGCTCTACAGCCTGCGAGCCACAACTACTGAGCCCGCGAGCCACAACTACTGAAGCCTGCGCGCCTAGAGCCCGCGCTCTGCAACAAGAGAAGCCACTGCAATGAGAAGCCTGCGCACCACAACAAAGAGTAGCCCCCGCTCGCCACAGCTAGAGAAAGCACGTGCTCAGCAATGAAGACCAAATGCAGCCAAAAATAAATTAATTAATTCATTTTTTAAAAATGCTGCTGGGGAGACAGTGAAAACTATGTAAATATAATTCAAGAGTTAAACGACTAACCATTGGTGAGCCATTTAATGAAGCGGTGATCACAACTTGATTTCTCAGTGAGATTTTCTGCTTCCAAGTCTTTGCCCCATATATCCCTTTGGACAGATGAATGAATCTGTCCATGAATGGATGTTGAATCCAGTGATAATAAAACACAGCCTAGCCGCCCCTGGATGGATATCTAGATGCCCGGGCTGAGGCTGGGAGGCACAGGGGAGCCCTTAAAGGCAGAAGTGAAGACTCAGTTCCTTAATGGTGAGCCCAGAGGGCTACGGGCATGTTGACAGCATGCGTCATCCCTCCCATGCGGCCTCAGAACCTTTAGGGGCAAAGCTGCGGTATCCATATCACTGTCTGCTGATGGTGGCCAAAGGAGTGGCACTGAGATGGAAGAAATTCAGGGAAAAGGGATATGGGGTAAAAACAAAAACAAAGAACCACCATTAAAATGGGAATGGAAAGCCAAAGGTTGGAGAAATGAGACTGAGTTTAAAATATTGAGTTTTTCTCCAAACTGTTCTGCTTCATGGCAATCAGGCTTAGTTGTTTTCATGCAATTTTGCCTACAAGACAACATCCATCCATTTCCCCATTCACTTTGGTTTGAATTCACATCGTGTTCCCTTTGATTGCAGAATCTATGCATCAAGGCAAATCAATTCATGACATACACAAAGTGGCGAGAAATCCCAGGTTGAACCCAGAATGTTCGCACAATGGCTTTTTCACAACCCTGGAACTGCAGCTGATAGCAATGGTGTTAAATATGCATGAGGACTGTTTGGAAATACAGGGCCAGTAT